GAGCCGTTCAGGCCAGACTGGGGAGAGAGGTGTTGTAATTATGTAAAATATGTGAAAAATAATGTGTTTTTCGAACAACCTAGTATGACAGCCTGTTCCAGTACACCCCCAAAACAAAATAGACTTTGTAAAAGAGCATAATAGGACCCCTTTAATATTATTGTACTAAGTACTTTAATAACTCTTTTTCACAAGGGAGTACCAGTCTTTACCTGGATTCAGTGATATATCAAGTGAACAGTGAAGAGGAAAGTCTGATTAGATGAACAGATGTAATGCATTTCAGTTCTGCTGGAAGAAATATTGAAATACTCTTTCTTGCTCATGTTTTTCATTCTCTCTCTCTCTCTTGATGGTGTGCGAGTTCCTCACAGTCTTCACACTGCTCAAATTGGCCAATCTTAATGTCAGTGAAATGTCAGTTGTTCGTAAGTGTGCGCTGTCCTCGCCACGCTGACATGCTGTTCTCTCTCGCTCTCCTCAGCATGTGGCTATACATCCACTTCATTTGCCATAAATAACATCCATAAGGACCCGGTGGGCGTCAAGCGGCCTCACCTAATACAGCCTTTACAGGGAATCAAGGAAAGTGACTGCTCTAACCTCCACAGCACACGACAGACCACTTACTTCCACTTAAAACTATTCTAAAAAGCAGCATATTTTATCCAGCAAACAAATACTGTTCCCAATAGAAGAGAAAAGATTTAAAAATCACAAACATAGTTCATTTTGATAAGACCACGAGTTTCACTACCAGTGTTCGGACTGATAACTTTAAAGACTTTTGCTTAAATGGTCAAGTTAGTTTTGTAGACAGAAGTAAACTCAGGTGTGCCTCACACGTCCTGAAAAGTGAAGCTGCGGGCTCTTTGATCGCCCCCTGGTGGTTGGCTGCAGTACAGGTCATAAACCCCGCCCTCTCCATGTAAACGAATGGGACTTGATGATGGGAAGCGATGATATCTCAGATCATTATTTAGTCTTGTGCAAACTTCATATAGCTAAAACTGTAAATTCTAATCCTTGTTACAAGTATGGTAGAACCATCACTTCTACCACAAAAGACTGCTTTGTAAGTAATCTTCCTGATTTATCCCAATTCCCTAGCATTTCCAAAACCTCAGAACAACTTGATGATGTAACAGAAACTATGGACTCTCTCTTTTCGAGCAATTTTAAATACAGTTGCTCCTTTACGCTTAAGGAAGATTAAGGAAAACAGTCTGACACCGTGGTATAATGAGCACACTCGCACCCTAAAGAGAGCAGCCCGGAAAATGGAGCGCAGCTGGAGCAAAACAAAACTAGAGGTATTTCGTATTGATTGGCGGGAAAGTAACCTATCCTACAGAAAAGCATTAAAAACTGCTAGATCGGATTACTTTTCTTCTCTTTAATCTCTACTGCGCAGACTCGGGCTCCAAATTACGTCATTTACTGATAATGGCAGCGGCCATACTGAGATGCTTTGGCTTCACTTTTCTATAGTGGAAGGAATAGGAGACGCGTCGTCCATCTTTATTTACAGTCTATGAGTAAACTACACCTTTCTTTACAAACACTAAAACGTTCTTTTATATGATGGAATACATTCGTTGAAATTGATATCAAATAGAAGAGAGTGAGCAACTGACCTGAATACACGACTCAGGCTCCAAACGAACGAATCTCTACTGCGCAGACTTGGGCTCCCAACGAATCTCAACTGCGCAGACTCGGGCTCCAAATGAACGAATCTCTACTGCGCAGACTCTGGCTCCAAACTAACAAATCTCTACTGCGCAGACTCGGGCTCCAAATTACGTCATTTACTGATAATGGCAGCGGCCATACTGAGATGCTTTGGCTTCACTTTTCTATAGTGGAAGGAATAGGAGACGTGTCGTCCATCTTTATTTACAGTCTATGGGTAAACTACACCTTTCTTTACAAACACTAAAACGTTATTTTATATGATGGAATACATTCGTTGAAATTTATATCAAATAGAAGAGAGTGAGCAACTGACCTGAATACAGTGTTTATAAGCATTTGTAATTCAATTTGTTACATCAGTTTGTGTTTTGATGAATTCCCTTATGATTAGTAAAAGAAATTGATGTAGATGTGTCCAAAATGTTGAACGTTAGTGTATATTTTTTAATTAAAATGTTCTCAACATAAGTGCTTAATAAAGAGCTATCCTTATTAAGAGCATAATTACACATTCTCAAATAATTTCAGAAATTCATTTGAACCACACCATCCACCTTTACGCCCAATTACGCTTTGCGCAAATTAGGGGAGTAACTTCCGTTAAACTGTAAACAATCAGCAAAAGTTTTTGCTCAATGAACAAAGCATTTTCAAAAACTGGGCACAATTAGGTCACATTAATCTACTCATCCTTAAACCTTCCAACAGTAAAAGTAAAACTGTAAGGAAGAAAGAACTGAGAGGACGAGGACAGATGGAAACAGACAGAGAATATAAAAAATGAAAAAAGGACAAACACAGAAAAAGAAAAAAAAAATGAAGTGAAATAAATCAGTAACATAAACAAGATTTGAACGGTGATTCAGAAGGCAGAGATGAGTGTAAAGCGTACAGCTGAAAGATGAAAGATGTGCTCTAAATACTTTCTGCTGGCATGTGTGTTTGTACGTACAGCGTTCCTGTAGCTCAAACAGTAAAGCACAGCAATTGCTGACAAAATGTATATCTTCGATGCAATATAAGTCACTTGGTATAAAAGCATCTACCAAATGCATAGATATGAAGGATCTGCTGGTTTAGTCGTGCAGTGAAACACTGCATCCCATGATGCTCAGCTGAGCTGAAGGTTACATACGTGAGTGGCTTGTTTTAATGTGTATTAGAGTTAGACCTCTTAAAGGAATAGTTCTCTCAAAATGTCATGATTTACTCACATAACAACACAATTTGTATGCACATCTTTTTTCTTGTGACTAAGAAGTGTGCTTAATTGTTTTGAATGTGTACTTGTAGTGAAATCTTAAAAGTCTGTTTAGAAAAAAACTGTACTCGCATATAATCAAAATGAAATAAAAGGTAATCTTAAGTGTACTTAAAGTGAGTTCTCTTTCATGTTTCTTAACACACTTAAGTACACTTTTAAATTCACTTTGTAAAAATGTCAAATTAAGTTTTACTTTAAAGTACATGTTTTAATAATCTTTTGTCATATTTTACTGTAAATAGGTACACTTATCTTTATGAGTTGACGATCATGCTAAAGCAAAGTATGTGATTAGTTGAAATGTTTTTATCTCGATGCGGCGCGGACGCGCCTGGACAAAATGACCGCGTCGCTTCCATTATGAGTGCGCCTGCCACGCGTCTACATTTGAAATAACGAACTTGAGCGTGCAAAAGACGCGATATGTTGAACGGCCCCTAAAGCATGACAGAAGTGATTCAGATTGACTTTATGTTAGAGCGATGAGTCAAGTCCTCCGTGAGCTGCAGTAAGAGACAGACAGAGACTCACCGGTGTGTTGGACTGCTCGATGAGCTTTCTCTCCCACATCTTTAGCCTTCTCTCTCTTTCTTTCAGCTCTTGCTCTTTGGTGCTCAGATCTCTCTCCAGCCGCTTCAGACGCTCTAGAGTCGCCTCAATCTCACACCTGCACACACAAAACCCATTATATTCATTAACATCACACCACTATTTAATGAGAACATACCTAAATACTCTTTGCATAATGTGGCATACATTGATATGGAGATGTAAATAATTTAGTGCTGTCAAATCGATTAATCGCATTCAAAATAATAGTTTGTACATGATATATGTGTGTTCTGAGTATATTTATATGTAGCACACACACATATGTATATATTTA